GGGGAAACGCCGCCCGCCACATTCTCCGCACTTATTCCCAACACCCGGCTCTATTTTGTGTGCCCCAAATGACAAGACCAGTCACCCTGCACAAGGAGAGAGAGAGCAGCAGTGGGCGGTCTTTATTACAGGAGGGGGCGGAGACAAGACCAGTCACCCTGCACAAGGAGAGAGCAGCAGTGACCGGTCTTTATTACAGGAGGGGGCGGAGACAAGACCAGTCACCCTGCACAAGCAGAAAGAGCAGCAGTGAGCGGTCATTATTACAGGAGGGGGGCAGAGACTAGACCAGTGACCCGCCACAAGGACAGAGAGCAGCAGTGAGCGGTCTTTATTACAGGAGGGGCGGAGACAAGGCCAGTCACCCTGCACAAGCAGAGAGAGCAGCAGTGACCGGTCTTTATTACAGGAGGGGGCGGAGACAAGACCAGTCACCCTGCACAAGGAGAGAGCAGCAGTGAGCGGTCTTTATTACAGGAGGGGGCGGAGACAAGACCTGTCACCCTGTACAAGGAGAGAGAGCAGCAGTGACCAGCGGCATTCAGCGCCCCTCTGAACTTATTTGGGATGCTCAAATGTAATCTCTAAGTCCGATGTCCTAACACCTCCGATCATTTGGGGGAAAAGCTGCGACGCGTTCTGTTAGGTTAGTAAAATCGACGCGGTTGAAATATATAAAAAGTAACGGTCAAAGGATTGAGTGGCCTCCTTGTTAATAGGGCCCCCCCGGTTTTGTATCGAATGTGTTAAAGGCGCCATATGACAGGCAGCCGCAGCGCGTCCTGTGCCTCCCCGGGCTCTGCCGCGAGCGCAGCTGTGTCTGCCTGGGCGTATTTCCGATCGGAACACAATGATTGTATTGAGGGTTTCACCAAATGTGAACCAGGCCGAGGAGGCGGTGTGGAATCATCGGGGTGGTGCAGTGATGGAGCAACTCTTCACCCCCCACTGGGGCTCATCAGTGAAGACGCTTTATAGGTTAGCAGCCGTTGAGGAACTACAAGTCCCAGCTGTCCTGCACCTGCGAGGCCTCCCGTACGGTCTAGCCGTTGATGGGCGTTACTTCGGGAGACCCATGCGTTGTACTATTTTGCACTGTCGCTACGTTTACATGCAGCATGCTCCATTTTCACCCAGGGTGAATCAGTGCAGCACAGTGTTGTGAACTGGGCCTATTGGGAACGATGGATTTCTGCTGGTCACTGCGTTGGATCTGAGTTGGCCCAACACACGCGGTGTGAATGGGCTTTAGGCCGGGTTCACACCTAGGCGTATCGAATATGCGTGTTTGTCTCGCGTTTCGTGCTGCGTGTTTTTACCGTGATTCGCGGTAAAAAAACCGTGCCACAAGCGCGCGTTTCCAAGGGCTACCTGGCTGTATCCAAATGGAAACGCGCGGCAAATACGCCCCAAAGAAGCTCCTGTACTTCTTTGGGCGTAGGGCGTTTTGTAGGGCGTTCATACGGCCTGTATTACGCCCAGGTGTGAACCATACCCATAGGAAATAATGGGATTTCGCTGTTTGAGCGTTTTGCAGAGCGTAGGAACGCGCTACAAAACGCCCAGGTGAGAACCTGGCCTTAGAGGACCAGACGCGGGTCACTTTGTAGAATGTGTGAACGTCGCCCGCGACGCATCCAACGCTGCAACAGGATTGGCTGCTGCCCCCATATTGCATTGGGTGATGTGCGAGGGGCTTGGCACTGTGTTGGCAGGTGACCGGGATTTGGGGGTGGGGGAGGAGCTATCGGGGCCATGTTGCATCACCAGTGCAGGTACCTTCCACCAACAGTCAAGGTTCCTGTACTCAGGTACATGCCGGAGACACCTAGTGGCCTAAACTGGTATTACATCAGAGGATTGATCACGTTTGTCTATGACATCATCAGGTGACAAATATCAATTATATTCTATATCTCCCGAGTCCCTTCAGTGCTGGATGTACAGTTCCTGCTGTTACCACCCTGTCCTGCCTCCTGGACGCTTCAGCCATCCTTGTGTCTCTGCCTAAAAACCTCCTGCCTGATCACAGCCTGTCCACAATGCCTGTCTACAGACCGCGCTCCTGCCTGTCTACAGACCGCGCTCCTGCCTGTCTACAGACCGCGCTCCTGCCTGTCTACAGACCGCGCTCCTGCCTGGCTACAGACCGCGCTCCTGCCTGGCTACAGGCCGCGCTCCTGCCTGGCTACAGGCCGCGCTCCTGCCTGGCTACAGACCACGCTCCTGCCTGTCTACAGACCGCGCTCCTGCCTGGCTACAGACCGCACTCCTGCCTGTCAATATGCAGTTTGGGTATATCAGGTGCTGTCAATGGACCTTGGGCACCATAAAGCCCTTACAAACATTGCATGAGGTCATTCTATTCTACCCAGTGATCCTGCCAGTTCCCGTCTTTCCTGCCTTAGGGTGACAATGCTCCCTGTGGGACTCCCTACGCAGGGCCAGTGTTGTCACCCTCAGGATGTTTGCTTCCTCTAAGGACTCCAAGCTAGTCTACTAATGCACAAGTACCACCCACTACAGGCTACCTGCAGAAAACTACAGAATGGGGTGGAGACAAGACCAGGGGGTACACGGAGAGAGAGCAGCAGTGACCGGTCTGTATTACAGGAGGGGGCGGAGACAAGACCAGTCACCCTGCACAAGGAGAGAGAGCAGCAGTGACCGGTCTTTATTACAGGAGGGGGCAGAGACAAGACCAGTCACCCTGCACAAGGAGAGAGGGCAGCAGTGACCGGTCTTTATTACAGGAGGGGGCAGAGACAAGACCAGTCACCCTGCACAAGGAAGGAGAGCAGCAGTGACCGGTCTTTATTACAGAAAGTTCAATAATATAATTATTGTCATGTTAACAGTTGCAGCAAATGTGGCCTGGGCGTCTCATCTGGTCACGAAAGGGTTAAATTGGCAGACCGCGCTCCCTTTCCAAGGCTTCAGTTCCGCCCGGAGCGTCCCCTTTATACCCGCGCAACAATGGCTGTCACAAGCGCGTAGCTGAGCCGTTAAACATCTGCAGCGAGCGGCGGCTTGTTCCTCGTTGTTAGAAGGCGTTAGTCTTGGCGGCGGCGTGAAATCTGCGGCTCCCTCGTCTCTCCACCGGCAGAAAAACTCATATTCTTCCCCACTGACCACCAATGAGGAGCATTCTTCCCACTGACCCCCAATGAAAGGAGCATTCTTCCCACTGACCACCAATGAGGAGCATTCTTCCCACTGACCACCATAGTGAGAGAACACTACAATTTTCACTCTGTGCCCTTATTCCTATCCATTATCATTATTATTAAGAATTGTTGTATGGAGCGGCCCTCCCATGTGACAAGTACACCAAGGGGCTGATTCATAAATCTTCCACCCAGCCATGTGCTGAGCAAATGCCAATGCGCCCTCTAGTGGCAGGAATGGTGCACAAACAGCATTCACTCCGGTATGGCTGAGCAGAAGATTTGTAGATCATCCCCCTAATTATGTTTTCTTTAGTTTTCTATTTATTCTCATGTCTCATCCCTACCTAACGGGGATTCTAACTTTTCTCTAGATATCCAGAACTAAGTTTGGGTTGGACTTTCACCTTTAAGGACTATTAAATATTTACATAGTATTAAAGCAAAGCTCTGTGTTTAAAAATGGAAATCAGGCAATTGCTGCAAAGCAAGGAAAGAAAACTCCCCCCCCCCTGCCCCTCTGCCCCTCTGCCCGTGCCGTTAAACTCTACTGCATGGAAAAGATCATCTTGCTGAAGGATCTTCTACATTGGACATGTCTGGGTGTGTGGTATGCCCGCATTCTCCACCGTTTGCTGTCTTTCCATCCCCCGTCTCCTACATTGTCCATGTATGGGCTGGTTTTTTAATGTCAACTTTCAGCCTTGAGATCAGGGTGTAGATAGGTCAGCTTTTATAGGGGAGCCTTACAGCCCGGGCTTCTATAGGGTAGCCTTAAAGCCCGGGCTTCTATAGGGGAGCCTTACAGCCTGGGCTTCTATAGGGGAGCCTTACAGCCCGGGCTTCTATAGGGGAGCCTTACAGCCCGGGCTTCTGTAGGGGAGCCTTACAGCCCGGGCTTCTATAGGGGAGCCTTACAGCCCGGGCTTCTATAAGGGAGCCTTACAGCCCGGGCTTCTGTAGGGGAGCCTTACAGCCCGGGCTGACATGTCTGCTCTGACAGGGAGAGAATACAACCAAATAACAGCACACACACAGCTACCCTTCAGAGGCAAACCTGTATGACAACGTGAGGGGGCAGGTTCACTAGCTGCGCCCCCTGGTGGCTGGTTCTGATCACATTCACACATATAGAAATGAAATCTAGATGTATTTCCTTGCAGCTGGTGTCTAAGCTCTGCACCGGTCTTGTCATTGCAGGAGAATTGGAAAGTGAGCATCTCTTTCGTGGTGGAGAACCAGCAGGAGGATGAAGTGCACACGCGGGCCCTGTCACAAGCCGTTTGGGCCCCCCAGCGCAGGCTCTTCAGTCTGGTATCCTGGGACAAGGTTCTGGAGCAGGTATGGAGCCTCATTGTCTATGGACAGCAGCAGAATATTGGTACCTGGTGGGGTAATGTTCATGCTATACAGGAGGGAATGTATTTTTGGTTGCTCAGAAACAATCTCATAGGGGTGTATTTATAAAAAGTTCCCGGGGCCATTTGTCATGAGAAAATCTACATTCACACTGCAATATGGCCACTAGATGGAGCCCTTCTTGTGTTTATAGGAAGCAGGAACACAGAGACAGGAAATGACATCATAGCCATTACATTATACCAGCATTTCAGCTGACACTGCCACCTAGTGGCAGAACTAGTAATTGCAGCATAATATATGAGAATGGATGTTGCACTTATGTCTGTATAAACAGCATGCTAACCCCTAAAACCCTAAGGCCTAATTCACACTGTAATCGGCCGGCACATACAGCTCCGCGCTGCGTGCACGGACGTATCGGGCCGCTCCCGGGAAGGACAGGTGCTGCGTGTGATTAGTACGCAGCCCGCGTCCTTCTCTATGGGATTACGCGGCCGTAGAGGTGCGTGTTTCCTGGCTCGGACGCAGACAGGATGCATCCTGTCAGCGTACGAGTACGCTCACCTGCACGTAGTCCCATAGAGAAGGACGGGGGCTGCGTACTAATCACACGCAGCACCTGTCCTTCCCGGGAGCGTCCCGATACGGCCGTGCACGCCGCACAGATCTGTACGGGCCGGCAGTAAGCTGTGTGAATGAGGCCTAAGTGTTACTGAACTGAGAAGACTCAGGTGTCCTCCCCAGTGCTGTGCAGCTGTGTAAATCTCAGGGCTGGATGGACAGAGATACAAGTCCTTTGGCAGGTAAAGCGGCTCCCATACATGTATTTTCGCCCTCCGGAGTTCCGCTTTAAGTAAAAAAAAATGTTTTTGCCGAAGTCGTTTTAGAAAGACGAAACGTTTACCAGCGGGCCGTATTTATTTATTCTTCAGGTCCACGAGCTGGGAAACCCCAAGATCAAGAAATCCAAGGACGCCCCTTTGTATTACGAGGTAAGAGATGGCGTTTTGTTTTGCTGGGTGATCTAGGGAGGAGATCTGCGTCCTGTTCCAGCGTAACGCACATAAAACGCCGCGATTATTCACAGCGACCCTCACAAACCGTATATATGAAGAATTTGGCAGAGCCCGGGGGGCCAGCAAATCGCTCCATTACCAAAATATTGTGCTTGCGTTTTCACCCGGACATGCCCCATAAATTTTAATGCATCTCAGTTTTAAGCCAATATATAAAAATACGG